CCACTTCGGTTTCATGAGGAACTCCTGTTTCTGTTGCCGGATGCTGATGTACCCCAAGATCTTGAATGCCCTGAGAAACCCTCGACCTTCCGCATAGATGGTCCGAGCTGCGTCTTCAGACCTAATGATCATTACCAGATAGAGAAATCAAGTATATAGATGAAATAGCTCGATGAGGGATCCATCAATCAACTGTACTACAAGATCATGTTTTTTCCCCCATGGGCCTCCAAGGAAGAAACAGTTTGATCAAGTCATTCAAGAATCAAATGCCTTGGATTTGATTCAAGTAGCCAAAAGAAACGCGATATGCATTTCCTCGGTCTATCGGGCGCAATGGATGCGCTGCTGGATTCTGGACAGGACAGTCGCTGCATGGCACTCACACATGATGATCGAACATGGTCAAAAAAGAGGAAGTATGCACAACGGCACTAGCTAGAAATAAATCCCAGCGTCAGTGCATGACAAGTCAACCCCAAACGACCTTCGTCGAAGCCAGGCGGAAACCCTCGCGCAGCCACTGGCATAGTTTCTGCCAACCATGCACATATGACGCGTCCATTCCATGCTTTGGCGTTCAACGAGATCTCGGTGCCAGGTCTGGCAACCTGTGCATCGAGATGCAAGTATGGGGCCAAAACGGTAGTACATAAATTGGCCCTTTGCATGGTTAAGAACATAGCCAGGGAGCTTTGGACTCTTTGAAAGGGGGTTGGCTGTGCTCCATCTTGTGCACCCGGCAGTAGGAAATAAAATCCTTGTAGGCTTCATCCAATTTTTGCTGCAAAGTGCCGGCCCCAAAGTAGCCCAATTGCTCACACAGCATAATCCTGGGTTGCAGGTTCAACCACCCACGCTAGGAAGACCAGGGTCAGCCCTTTTGGAACGTGAGCCAAATCATTGTTGATAGGGTCGAGATCAGGGGCATGATAAGTTGGCTGCCCATACCACAAAGGCCAAGGCCGAGGCCAATATCTCTTAATTAAAGAGGTGTGCATTATTCTGATATGTTCTTTATTTTGTTGGTGGGGCTTGATCATACCCAATGAACTCACCTCTTGAGGACACCCTTCCTTAGCCGAATCGCGCAGATTGATTGAGTACCTCGGTTGCATTGGGGGCTGGTTTTACAGCAAAGCATCAAAGCTCCTCCGTTGAGACCCATCAAGAGCCCCAAGTTCAAAGTGTGCATCGTACACCACTTGATGCACTGTATATTGAACTTCCGCAAATTGACCAGGGGGGCCTCCAGCATATTCAGGAAAAACTTGCAAATCTACTCGTTCTGTATTTGGATAGAAGTCTTCAACCATTACAGAAACGATCATTGTACAGGGAAAACATGCACTGACCCCCAATCCCACAATAGGGTTTCCATGGCATCGACTCAACTGTCCCCAAAAGAAAAGACAATTGCAATACAACGTTCTTTTTCATATCAAGGGTGCAAATATTGTACGCAGGAAGCCTTTTGTTAATATAGTCAACGGTGCCAAACTCTTGCTGGGCCCAAGTGCTGTTTTGATCATCCATATTCCAATACTGTAGGCCAGTGTCCGCACATCGAAGCATGGCCGGGCAGCGAAAGCATATCCCAACATTGACACCACCCTTCCACGAACATTTGAACTGCCAAATGAACTTGTGGAACTCCCAGTCCCCTCTGAGTTCTACCACCTGAAACTGGTGCCTTTTTTCAGTGATATAGGACCCAGCACGCTCCTGTTCATAAGGCTTGAGTGGTCTGTTTCCCGGTCGCGAATCAGGGTGTCTGCCGGAGTAGAGGGCGTTGCATGACCATACGATCCAACGAAGTACCGTATTTGTTGTTATATTCTTCCAAAGTAGTGACACATCACATGTCCAAAGCAAGAACCGCGAGTATCGAATAGCGTTGGGGCGAAAGATGCAAATGTTCAAAATAGGCACATCAGCTTCTCCACCCGATATTTCGTTATCAACTGTGCAGAGTCCCCGTACAATCCCAGAGGAATCCTGTGCCGCGAAGCTGGACTTGCATATGCCTCCCCACCAGCCATGGCATTGTCCCAGAATTGGTTGATTACAGATTCTGGTATATCAAGGCAGCATTGATCGAATACATAGCCAAGTATACGATGTGGAAAAAGGACAGCTTGTTGCTCAACTCTGTAACCACTGGCAACCTTTTCATCATAGACTGGAACTGCAATGTATTCCACTTCCTTAGTCTGAGTGTGACGGGCTGTTGAACGCCTATGAAAGCATGTAGCTACACCCTACCCTCTACACCCATGCCCAGGAATGCATGGAGTTCCATGTTTCTCCTGACATACGGGGGTGGCCTGGAACTCCGCTTGGCTGCCTAAAACTTCCGAGGTGGAAAATTGCCAGCGTTGCAATGACCGGTCGATTGAGAACATCGGCTATGAGGCCAGGGCACCACTGGGATATCATGCGCTTTCCAGAAATTGCGGGCATCGTTCCCAGGTTTCTTCAATCCCAGTCTAGCAGTTCCAGGATGACAATTCTGTGCACCACTCTCCTCGCAAAAGCCACCGGTGAGACTTCGAAAACACATATTCAAATTATGATGATAATTCGATTGAGATCTATATCATGCATTAACACGTACTTGATCTGGCGCATGGGTGCATGCATGTGTCACCCTCAGCAAATTGGGGGACACCTGAAAGCCCGCTTACAGTGCGTGCAGCAAGGTGCTTCCACATGCGCTCTGATCCGCTTCATGGTCTTGTACACGGAAGTGGCCTCAGATGGCGGGGGTGCTGTGTCGGTGGGAGACAGTGGAATGCAGTTAAATGCACTTGAGAGGTTGATCATTCTTGGCTTGCATTGGGATCTTGATCTTTGATTGGCGTAAGGTGTTCGAACCTATGACCCTACAGTACCCATCGATTATATCCATGACAACGCGTACGTATATAATTTGATCGATCGAGCTATGCATTGTCTTCCATGATCAATCATTACACATTTAGTCTTTAAAGCTTTAACAATATAATTTATGCAAGGCACCCCTGAACTCACATCCTCAATTGCGGTCTGTTGAACAAAGTTGTCATCAGCAGCTTTGGCACTGGGCGGTTCATCTCCTGCGTGGGAAAGTGCAGAGCAGCACATAAATGATCCATAGTAGGTTTCGGAGAACTCAGCAGTGCAAATGTGTTGGGTTCCAGCGTTCCTGGACAGCACATAGATGGGCACCCAAAAATATTTGGAGACCATTGGGGGTGTAAATGCATTGGTTTCCACAATTCTCACCTTGAAGCTCAGCTAATCTTCAATAGTCGACTAGATAGATGGCAGCGCAACTTGTTTTCCAAGTCGTCCCCAGATACCCGCTAGTTCAGACTGAATCTATCCATCCAGATTTTCTGGAATCCCATCGAGCGACCTCGTGCCTGTGTCTCTTGGGTTCGACTGTTGTGAACCCCCCAAAACTCAAAAGTGCAAAGCAGGCGTTCTGAACAAATCTTGCCGACTCCGACTCACTATCGAAACGAAAGCCATGCAAATACCATATATGCATACTATCCAACATATAGATATACGACTAGGCCTAGCTATATAGTAAGTACTATAGTACAGTGCTTACATCAAAACACACCTGCTTTGCCAAAGCTCGATTGGCACCATCCCCGGCATAACAGTCTTCGCAGCGTTAACGCCAGGTTCTAGGGTACCATTCCCCCAGAAAGGTCAAAAAGATCGCTCAACAGATCTACTTCATATTGTTGTTGCTCAAAAATTCAGTAAATTTTTTCACTGCGGCTTCCCCTGCAGACTCAGGTTTTGGCAGACGGGCGATGTCTCCACCACCCTGTCCAGCAGAGACGGTCATGTGCAACCCGGCTGCGAAAGCATAGATATATATTACCTTTAAAGGTTACAGTAGCTGCTTTTGTTTAAAGGCAACCCACAAGGAGAAACACGTTCAGCAAATGGAGATTACGATTTGTTGACCTTGTCAAGCTGGGATCTTGATCATGCTAGTATAGCTAGAGTCCCACAAATGCACACCGGGCCTTCACAGCATCAACTTCATTCTGCAAACTCTCGCGGCATTTTTGCAAGCTCTTCTTGTGCGGTTTCAACTCATCCATGAAGATAGTCTTCAAAGCATCCGACCTCATCATGGATTTGCGATAGCTCCAAAGAGGTCAGGGTATATAGCAGGACCCATTGAGATCTTGGTTTGATCATGGGACAAAGACTGACTCAGATGTCGACTTCTTTTGACCGCTGGTGATATGGTAGCAGACTGTCATCAGTGTATGTGCTACATGATTTAATCCAGTTTAAACCTCTACTCGGCCGAGTCAAACATTCCTAAGCGAAGATCAATACCTATTCTCAATCTACAGGCTGATCGTTGGCCATCCTTTGGGGACCATGCATGTGTGCCGCCATCTCATCAACTACCCATCCATTCCCGGGCTATGGCATGCTCTCGGCTTTCACCTGCATCAAGGAGGCCTTGGCAAGGGCTGCCTGCAACTTTGACACCACCTGGCAGAGGGTATGAAAAGGATAAACAGCACCAAAATCATCTTTACCATCATATCACTTAAACAAGGGAGTGGGATATGTGGTCGTCGCCTTGTTGGCAGCAGTGATAGCCTTCTTTTTTTTCTTCTTTGGCTTGCGCTTCCAGCTCTTTCCGTTCACGCTTCTCCTTCTCCTCTGCAGTTTCCTCCTTCTTAGGTTTCTTTTTCTTTTCCTTCTTGCCTTTCGGTTTCTTTGGTGATGATGATGGACTCGATGCAGATGATGATGATGAACTTTTCTTTCCTTTCGAGGTCTTCTTTTTGCTCCCCTTCTTTTTCTTGGCCTTCTTCTTATCTTTCTTCTTCTCCTTAAGGGTTGACATGTTGACTGTTGACTTCCATTCAATTGCAATGTATAATAATATCAGGGTGCATACATGACCGAGCGATCATTTGCAGAGTACAGCTTGTACAGGGTATCGTATACTTTTAGTTTTATTCTCATAATTAAGTATCACGGCGATGCGTTGGCTCATGGAATGGCGGGAGAGGCTTGCAGTCTGAATTCATCCATGGGTCCGAACTCGAACTGTCATCATCATGGCTGCCATCAGCATCACTGCTGGAATCACTCGAATCCTTCTTCTTGTTGGGCTTGCCCTTCACCCTCTTGTTGTCTTTGGTCTTATGCTTGGGACTCTGGTCACGCTCGACAGCATCAATCATGGTAGATGTGACCGTGTCGTGCACATCTTCTTCGGCATCAATGTCCCAAACCAGGAACTGGCGTAAATCCTAGACGTGCAAAATAAGCAAGGGCTACTCAGGAGTTGTCCCACCCTACCCACACAGCATATAATTCGATCATGAGCCAGTGAAGGATTGATCGGTTGAATCATATATAGGTCGATCTGTCGATCGATTGATTATATATATATATATATCGATAGTGACCATCACAGCTCGATCATCGATGAGTGCAAACACAGGCACTTCATCCCCCGGAGCGTCCGGGTGGAACCGCACTTGAGTGCGAGCCAACTCAGCATCGGCCAGCTTGTGTTCTGCAATGCGCCTTGCCACTCGTTCCGAGCCGTACTTTAGGGTCAACTCATGTAGAGTCAACCAGCGGCGTGCGCCGCGGCGGCGGTGCCTGACGCTGACTCGAAGTTCCTTGTACAAAGATGATTCTGTCCAATGGCCATCGCATTGAGCCCATTGCTCATATAAAATACCCAGCTTCTGACTGTCTTGGATGGTGTCAGCAGTAAAGTATGCATTCCCATGGACCCCTGTGCAATTTCAGTCTTGATTTATAATTACGGTTGCCAGAAACCCTCCAAAACAAGACTGTAGCACGCTCCAAAAACAGTGACCCTCAATTCAAAGACACCACCAGTGAGGCCCAAGTAGCTCCTCTTCGCTAAAGCTCCAGCCTTGCGAATCTCTGGTGGACTACCTGGACTGACAAGTTTAGGATCTTTTTAAGTTAGGCACTGCCTCGGATTCGATCAATGTGAGTTCATGAAGTTTTCAAGCTGACAAATTTCTAGATCTACAGGTTGTCGATGACCCCAAAGAAAAGGCTAGCTACACCATGATGCAACACATGCGCGCATGCAGACAGGATACGGGGTGATTTCAAGCTGCGGCTGAACCGCATGAATCTCGCATGTGCAGCTTTTCGGGCCTTCACCTGCTCGAGCGTCAGCTCACCATCACTATCACCTGCAGGCTGCTCGGCTCCTGCGCCCTCAGAATCTTCAGCAGCGGAGGCAGCACTGGGAGAGTGGGGCGATGGCTGGTGTGAGTGAATCTCTGAAGTAGATTTTCTGTTCAAAGCTTGTTGGACGGCTCTCGAAGTGGCTGGCGGGGGTGTCTCAACCTTTGGACTAGTGGCTGACTTAGCACTAGCCTTTGCTTTTGCCTTCACAGCTGTAGCTTTTGCGCGCGGAGGTTTTGGTGGTGGATCCACCTTCTGGTTCGCATTTGCCGGGGGTTCAGGTTCCTTCCTCTTCCTCCCTTTCCTAGTCTCTGGAGCCGGTGGGTCTTGCACGCCAATCTGCTCAGGGCACTCAGGGCTGTAGTATACAGTAGCAGGTGACTTTAGCTTGCCGGCGGCATCTCTAAGAATCTCCTCACTCTGAATACGACGAGGCAACTTGGGGGCAGATGACTGAGAAACCCCCGTGTTCGAACGTTTGACTCTGGCTGGTGGGGTGGAATTGAGGCGTTCCCTCCTGGCACTGGCCTTGGCCCTTTCCACAGAAGCAGCGCTGGCTGGCACTGTAGAAGCAGGAGATGAACCACCACCACCACCACGGCCTGACCGGGATCTAAATACAATCGGGGCCATGGTTGGGATGAACTGCAATCATAACAAGTCGATCAATATAGTTAAAGGCAACAGAGGCGGAAGCTAAGTTGGCCCAGGCTTGAACCACTAGACCCTAGATGCATAACAAACCAGCTACTGCACGTTATATATTTCCAGAACAGCACCTTGATCGCCCTTCGCGACGCGTTTGCCTTCTCGACCCCTGGGCAAATGAAGCGCTCATGTACATACAACCAAATTATTCACGCTTATCCAGTGCAGCACTGACATGTACATGCATGCCGACTAGCCTCGAAGCTTCTGCCGAGGGCTCTTGATTCGGGGGAGCTTCTGCAAGACGGGCTGCCCTCTTGTTAGCTTTTTCTAATGCCTTAGCTACAGCCTCGGACGGAGGCATTTTCCCTGAAACCTGTGATCCGCAGTGGCTTCTAATGAAACAATGGTATACCGTACTGCTTTTACATGGTATGAGTGGTGAATGGAGCGTTTACAGCAAAAAAAAACAAAAATGGTAGGTTTTTTGTGTAATGCTCGTTCACGATTAAAAATGGTCTTTAACGTTTAAAAATGGTCGTTCACGAGTTATTCACGCTCATTCACGCTCCATTCACGCACCCTCCTGTGGCAAAATTCTGCATGGATGTACAGGCATGAGCTGGCATGAGCTTACTGCTGTGACCTCAGCTTTTCCAAGATCAGTGGAGTTGGGGCCGTGCTCGGTCGGTGCAGCTTGAAGCAACCAAGACGAATCAATTAGACAAGAGGTATGAACTGAACACTTGTTTTGATTGGTCAAGTTTATCTCTTTCCGGAGGAACTTGGATGCTAAGCTGCAATCTCAGTTTAATTTGTTCCAAATAAATTAGCTCAGAGTGCAAAGGGAATACTGTAATTGGATCTTTGCAGCAAATCCTATAGGTCAAGCCCACCTTCGAATTGGGGATGGAACTTTCCAGCCCGGACTTCTGATTCCAAAAAAGCTTTGACATCGTCCAGTGCTGCGTGGCGCCAATTGTAAGGAGCCTCCGCTCAAAAACGACGGGTCCAGATCTTGTTCTTGGTTTTAATGTTTCACTATACAGTACCTCCCATCCAGCCATACCAATGCCTGCCTTGTGGACCTTGCCGTGTCCCAGGTCACCAGCATACAATGCTGACCGGAGAGTGTTGGCTTCCTTGCTAGCCTGGCCAGCCCAGTGTTGTGCGCTTCCGGGGAGTGAGGTTACAATCAATCTCTGGAAATTAAATTCCAATGATTCCAGTATTCGTTCCTTTTAATTTCGCAAATCAGTCAACTGAGATCAAGACCCTGAATTTTTTGTGGAATCGAGCCATCGCAGTGCCATAGTTGGGAGGGTAAACTTGCGACACCTTAAGACCAGCAGCTCCAGTCCTAAGCCCATCGATCTGTACCGAAAAGTCGTTCTTCCCACCATTTTCTTCCCACCAACCGCAGTGCAAAGCTTGGCAAATAACAATATAGCGATCGATATAGACTAGTGGCACTTGCTGTTTTCCTGATGCTTTGCTAATCGTGTGCCGCACCATCGGAGTTTTGGATTTCTCCTGTTTCTTCCTCAACTTGGCCCGCGCCCCCCTTCGAGGCTTTCTTGATCATGCGCTCCATCGATGGCCTTGGCACTGCAGAAGGCGATGCCGTTGGAATGGGGGGAATGGTTGATGGAGGTCAAGTCGGTTTGTTTGCATGTCGCCTTCAAAACCAACAGGTGTCCAGAGACCACAAAAACAATAGTACGTACTACGCTACTGTACTGCTAATAATCTTGTCTGGCATGGTCGGTGCAGGACAGTCTCAGGCCCAAGCCAAGTCCCAAACAGTTTTGTCGGCTTCAATGTTGGGGCGCCATAGGCCCCCATTTCACTCGGTGTGGGCAGCCAATCGGTTCTAGAGGTAGATTCATGACAAATATCCACGTACAGCTGGGTGGATGAATGGTTTTCTTTCGAGCGTTTTAAAGTTGAAGCCATCCCAAACGGAAAAGCATGCATGTCCACGTCCATCATCCATTGAGCCCCCCGGCAGTCCCACCATCTTCCAAGGAATGAATTGGTTCACGAGCCTTCGGAAATAGACAATGTATGGGAAGTACACCATTAGCGAAGACCGGGGCTGCTCTGTCACCAAGTAGACACAGCGGACTGTGGCCAAAAACCACAGCAGCACCATCCGGGTGGTGATCCTTAGATGACCCAGGCCCACACCACCACACGGTACTCGACACATCCGACAAATGCCAATCGATCCATCTATATATCGATTTCCAATTCAAGATTCACATTTGCGATCCTGACGTAGTTACGCAGTGAGGCCCATCCAAGTGGTCGATCAACCCGTCGGCCGCTTGTATGCATGTTCAAGAATACAAATGATCCACAAGGTGGACCAGCTGACAGAACTGCGCCTTCCTCAAGTTTGAGGGTGAGGAGGACCGATCGCAAAAAGCCCTGCCTGGGCCGTCGTGCACAGCGGGGGGCATATGGGGACCAGTGCACTTGTGGCCAAGGCCCAAACACAGATGTTATGTCCCCATCAAGGCCATGACTTTCCTTGTCGTAAGCCAACCTAGGGTGGCCAGCTATAGGAAAACACATGTGAATGAAGGAAAGGCTTAGGCGAGTACGCCTTCATTTTCTCAGCCCCTCAGTCAAATCACAGGTATGAGCTTTGCTATAAAATCAAAGTGCGGCCACATTCACTCGATTCACTGAGCCTTGCACTGAATCCACGTGAAACCGATTGCATACCGCAAAACAAATCCAATACTGCAGAGTCCTAGGCGACAAGGCTTGACCCAAAGAAACCAAGATCGCACTAGCAAGAAGAACCCAGTCTAATTCCATCTAATTCCTATCACTGGGTTGGGGGGACTTCTTTTTTGGGGACACGTGTTCATCCTGAATTGATATCATTTCCTGAGTTTCAAGCCCTCTTGTCCATGGTGGTCATTTCCACTTGCTCACAGACATAGTCGCAGGCGTGTAGCCTCATTGTAGAAGGGACCAAGAGAGGCCTAAATTCGAGGAAATTTGTGAAGACCGGTAAAGTCTCTCTTTTTGTGACCCTTCTAAGGGCCCTTCCAACCCAAATGTGCAAGTAAGTAACAGGATCAGGGGCACTCCAAAGTATAGCAGGGCCTGTGCTGCCTTTCGGGAAAGGGAAATTTTGGCAACCATTTTAGGTAAGTCCACGAATCCCTTTCCAACTCCTGATGGTACCAAAACAGCTGCCACAGACAAAACATGCAATCGACTGACATGCTCAGCAGGTCCCTCTAGATTAAAACCAATTTGTTCATGACACATGCCGAGCCAATTCTCTTGATCGTCGATTTTACGCATGACCTAGATCCTAGATCAGATCCTTCACTCCTGGATCCGTTGCCAGGACATGCCCCAAGCAACACCATCCGCGCTGAGGAGCACGGGGTGTGGCAACTACCATTGGCCAACAGATTCAGTTGGCAGGGAAATTGGCACTCTGCCCCCACGAAATCACACACAGATGGAAACTGGGGTTGAAATATAGCGTACAAATTAATAAATAGTTTCATTGCGTGTACATGTAGCTGATGAGCATGGGAGCACCAGAACCAGCTAGGTCAGGCCGTCTGGGCAGCCCGTGGGTACACTTTATGCCATCCAGCAATCAGCTTTGCGTATTCCCAACTCAGTCGGCCAAATAGAGTCACGAGTGAGTCCCATATTAATTTACACACACCAAAATAAATGTTTGAGATGCTGACGCTTTGCAAATCCCTCCATGCTTGCCCCATCCAATGGACACTCCATGTTGATTGTTCGCCTGGGAAAGAGCATCTTAATCAAAACATGTGCGGTGAAGTCTATATGCACGAAGCTAGTACTGACATATATAATGATATCAGCTATGCATGAACATGGTCCCATGGCCCAGTCACCTTGAAACTGGTACCGCACAACTCATTCACCAGACTCACCCGCTCGGGATTTACAGGGCAGATGTAGAAGCTTCGGCGGTCCAACCTCGGTGAACCCCCAAAATGAATCGTCCTCATATATATAGATCGATATCGATGCGATTGATGCAGAACAAACATCAAAAGTGGAAGACCGATGCCTGTTGCATGGATTGGGTACGTACTAGATGGTACTAGTGATGGGTGATGGCAAATTACTAAATTTAGTTTATTGCGCTTCCAAATTCAAAGGGCCCCACGAAGGCGCAATCGATGGAAGTTTCCCATCCTCATCAATAGCGGAATCTTCAAGTTCATCCAAAGGGGGTCGCAAGCTGTAGGACCTAAGACCAGCGATCGATCAGCCCACGAGCCCTCATGTCTCTTCTTTACATGGTCACACCATTGTAGACCAGGTTCCTGACGTTCGCAACTGAATTTTCAGGATGGATGCGAGCCCCTTGCACGCCTTGTCGCTTTCCAGGACCTTCAGGAATTCCTTTTTGGATGCAGCCTGAGCGTTGGCCGCGGCTAGAGTGGATTGGCACTATAGTACGAAGAGCTGGTTTCAATTTCTCCCATCAAGTCAATGAGTTAATAATAGTACGTATAGTGCAGTCAGTACTGCAGCGCCAAACCGCAAATGCAGACTTGATTGTTCAGTGCGCGCCATCACTAGTCAGAGCAGTGCATTGTTTTGAACTTATAATGGGTTCTCAAGGGTACCGGTTTCTCTACCATGCATTTGCGCACTCACCAAAACATAACTGGACTTTCCCTCTCCTCCTTCTTCTTCATGGCTGCTGCTTTCTCCTCCTTTTTCTTCTTTTTCTCTTCCTCCTCGGCAGCTGCCGCCGTCTGGCCAGAGCCTTCCTCAGCCCCTCCTTGGGTGTCTTCTTCTTGCGGGATTCTTCCTCCTTGTCCTCCTCCTTGGGTGTCTTCTTCTTGCGGGATTCTT